AACTCCCAGTGGAGCATAGGCCATCAACAACATTTCTCCTGCGAAGCCTGTCCTGTGCATCCTTTTCTAGCCGTTTCCATGATGTCCCCGCCTACATGTCATCTTTGGTCTTCCTTTCTTACGTTTTCCTTGTGAATTCCACGTCAACAAAGCCTGTCTGATGATGCTGTTGGGGGTCTCCTCAGGATGTGCCCAATCCATTTCCACTTCTTCACCTGTATGTCTTCATTCACTAGCCTTGGGCTTGTTCTTTCCCACAGTTGAGCATTTGTAACTCGATCGTGCCACTTGAACTCAAACGGCACATATTATATGACCATAATATTGTGTTGCAAGTATTTGGTTTTTTATAAGACTTTTTACAGCGCTCGCAACTCCATAAGGTTATATTATGAGCGCGCGTCTGTGTTGCATTGCGAGTGCCGTAAAACTCTTACAACGAAATAAACAAATAAATAAACAAATAAATGATAATTAAGAATAAAATGCTCTAACTCTAACCTTTTTCCTCCCTATTTTCTCTTTTCCAGGATTCGACGCAGGAACAATGGCACCCTCGTGTCTCCTCGGGAAGACTCGTAACTCGTAACAAACACGTTGGGGGGAAATAACATTTCAGTGGACGCGCCATCACTACCATCGATGAAGAACCAACACGACTGTCCTTGAAAAACAAAACCAAAACCAACCCCCGCTACAACTAACTGACTCTTGTTTTTCCTGCACTTGAGACGAGTACTTGGTGCGAGGAGACGATGGATACGCAATACTGTTGCTCTTGGAGAGAGAGATGAGGGATGTGTGCATTTGTCATGCACAAGTACCTTGTGACTAATGATATTGTATTTTTGTCGGAGTTAGATTGGGAACGGATTTTTTTAGGGGTGAGGGGGGGTGAGAGAGAGGGTGAGAGAGCGGTGGGGAGGGGGGAGAAGAGACAGACAGTGGGAGAGAGAGAGAGTGAATGTGTGTGTGTGTGTGTGTGTGTGTGTGTGTGTGTGTGTGTGTGTGTGTGTGTGTGTATGTGTGTGTGTATGTGTGTGTGTGTGTGTGTGTGAGAGAGAGAGAGAGAGAGAGAGAGAGAGAGAGAGAGAGAGAGAGAGAGAGAGAGAGAGAGGGAGAGACAGACAGGCAGACAGACAGAGAACCGAAGGGTCGGGAAGAGTACAATGCGGCAATGTCTTACAAACACATTTTAAAAAAAGGGAAATCAATGTGATACATGCTCTAAATTGCGCGATTTCAGTCCAGAATTATAAAGTTTTGGGTTTTTTAATTAATTTTTTTTTTACGCCAGTGTGTTCACCAGACACTCGCCTAATGACGCAAGGTCGGCAGCAGCTTTTATCTCCTTATCATTTCAGTGGACCTATTCACAACTAAAGGCCCTGGTAGCTAAAGTGTTTTGTACTTTCAGCTTCGTAATTTTCACAACAGGGAGCCTGAGCCATGGTAATTATTTAGGCTTACTCCTACTCTTACTTCGCCTCAGCGGTGGGTGATAGATTTAGTCCAAATAATCACCGGCTTTACTGTTTGTGCGCAGGCGTGCGGCTGTTAATGTCTGTTGCTACACACTGTTGTTTTGTTTTTCCGACTTTGGCCGATAGTTTTTGCTTTTATTATTAAATGTTATTAAAACTTATTAACAGAAATACAGACTATGTTCGTTTTGATCTTTGACTCTATTACGAAATGTACGGCTCTTGCAACGTAATTAGACCATATAAGTGCCGAAGATTAGAAGTGTTACTAGAGAGGAGAGTAATTTATAAAGAAAAGAAGTAGAGATAAGGACTATCTTTAAAAATATATTTTACAATTCTGACTTGCAAAGTAAAACCAAGGCGTGCTGTGAACTTACATAAATACAACCAACTTGTGTCTCGCACTCTTGTATGACTTTATGCAGTTGCTTGAGTCGTGATACTTTTACCAAAAAGAGATATAATATAAGGGCCATAGATGTTTGATAGGAAACAACACGCATTTTTGTTGCTTCTGTGAAGCTGCACGATTTAAGAAAAAGGGATGTCTGTAGCCTATTGTTTGACAAAAGAGGAGAACTGACGAGAGGGGAGATAGAAAGTCGACAGACAGACAGGGGAGGAGGAAGTAAGAGTAAAAAGAGGGGGGGGGGAGAAGGTGAGAGGAAGAGTTAGTAAGTTAGCAATGAGAGAGATAGAGGGGGGGGGGAGGCAGTAATTGAGTCTCCAAGAAAAAGGAAGACGGATAGACAGAATGAGCAAATGGAGGACAAAGAGGTAGGAACTACCAGTGGCGCCCTCCACCCTCCTACGGTCATTGCTTCAGGAATTTCAGACAAAACTGCCGAACCAGCAGATGCAATCGGTTAGTTTGGTCTCCTTATATATGGACTTAACTTTAATTTTAGTTTTAGTAAGAGTTTTACAGCGCTTGCAACACAAGTAGGTCATAAGTATAATATAAGTGCCGAAGATTAGAGGCTACTAGACAGAGTAACATAGACAAAATAGAAGGAAGAGAGATAAGGACCATAGACGTTTGATATGAAAGAAGGAACGAACCACACCAGAGCACCCTCCAACCACCCACAGACGTACACTTAACTAAAACTAAAACGCCCTTTTCAACCTGTACAATTTCGACGAGGTAAGACCTCCTGCTCAAAGCACGACTATCTCCAATACGACCCCTCGTAGTAGATGGAAAGCCATAGAAATTGAATATGACAGAATGCCCACTAACGTGTGTGGAGTTGTGGTTCGATACCCGTGTTGAAAAAAAAAGGGGGGGGCGGATTCGTTTTGTTTGTTTATCTACCAACAAAAAATCCAGAATCTCCGTCTTTTTTCCCCCTTTGGTAAGTCGTTCGTATCTCTCTCAGCCTAGATCAAAGCATCTCGCCTTCTAATAACTGGCCTTAATACGTACTAAATATAGTGTCGATGGGGGTGCAAAATACCTACAATTACCAGAGACAATCAAGGTTCGGGGCAACTTTACTGGTATGAAACTAAAGGTTGCCTGTACTGTACAGCAGCTCAGCATGGCTCAGCTCCACAGACCCCTGCTAAATAATTGGAGCAACCAAAAGCACATTATAATATAATTCATTCAAAAGGAATGTTTGACATAAAATTCACAAAGAAGAAACTTATTTTCGAAAACGGAAAACGCTTTTATGAAAAAAAAAAAAACTACCTATAAATATATACATAAATATGTCTGTATATTATGTAACTTCTCTTTGTCGCATCCTTTGCTTTATGAGGCCCTCAGACTCGCAACCGTAAGGTCATGGGTTCGAATCCCATCAGGGACCCGACGTTGTGCCCTTGGAAAAGGCACTCTACACGAATTGTCCTCACTTCACCCAGGTGAGAATGGGTATATAGACAGTGAAAGATCTTGTCAGTTTAGTAGTGTTTGGGCGCTCTATCAGCTGCTTGCACTGTATGCTTCCCGGGAAGCTGAGAATGTTTTTGAGCGTTCAACGTTCTGCTGGGGTAATAATAATATAGTGTAGTGCGCATAGAGCTTGTTGTAGAGCGGGGTTATGCGCTATACAAATGCTATTTATTATTATTACTACTTAGCCAGGCATTACATGTAAATACACCGTAATTTACAGTAATACATACACCTGTCACCACTACCCGGGTAATCCCCACCACCCACCAAAATTACCAAATCGCCTACTGCCACTAGTGACCGATATCGCCCACGATAGTCGTTAGTCAGCTTTGGCTTATGGTGTTGTGGAGTAGGAACTATCTTGGACTTTCCTCATTTGGTGTGGGAAAAGAAAGACACTTATGAACTGGGCCCAACCTCGCGCATAACCAGACCTGTTGCAAGCTTCAGCCTGTGACTACGTCAGGCTGGGTGTGTTCAGCTGATATAACGCTCAGTTGTGGGGCCAAAGACTGGTTCGAATTCACAAAAAGGTGTTCATAAACTTTGGTTGAATGGGGTACTTTCAAGGTTGTTCCATACCTTCTAGGTATTGTTTTAACCAGTACACGTAGTTCATTGTCAACAAATTTCTAAAATCCAAACAAGGACCAAAGCAACTCAAATTTACGAGGCATCAGTCTATGACAGTGATTCACAGGTTCTGAACTTGGGGGTACTGAACCTCACAAGCTTCATATGTGCATTCACCAAACCCTTTTAGTTTTAGTACGTTTTACGGCACTTGCAACACAATAAGGTCATATAAGTCCAGAAGATTAGAGGTCTTTCAAGGGAGTTACAAACACAAAAGGAGGAGAGATAAAGACGAGAGATGTTAGATAGGAAAGATGGAACAAACCACACCAAAGTTCCCTCCAACCACCCACCCCGGGAGTTCAATCAAACCCATGTTAAGAACCATTGCATAGCTGCTAACGTTTCAAAACCAAACAAACAGACTCCACTCACTTCACCGTCATAATTCACAAATTCATTTGTGGTAAATCATTTTCAGAGATGCCAACCACAGAAAACCGAAATGAGTATTGGGAAATATGAAAATGTGTATTTTCAGGTGAAAATGTGTATTCCCCAAGACCGACCGACCGACCAACCAGTAGGCTAAAACAGCACCTGGACATGGATGGCTGGTGCCTCTATAAATAAATCACTGATGGTCGACCAACCAGTAATAGTAAAATGTTCAGGGTGTCCAGCAATATTTCCTGAAAAAAAATTACTAGCTCACCAGCTCGGAAAAGGGAGCATACATGCGTACAATATACATACCCAGTCAACAACATGTCAGTGTTCAATGTTGTACTGGGGTCTTGTTTGACTTAAGTATTTCAGTCTATTATATAATATTTTCCTCTCATTATTATTATTATATAAAAAATAAATCCTGCTTTGAGGGTTCGGAAGGGCCTAGAACAAGAATTTCGACTATCAAGAACCAGTCTGGGTGTCATGATTCATATTATGAACTGACAGACTCAAATTATTGCTCAAACTCAATAACTCGAATGGCTCAAGTAGACCCATGCACTGTGAGAGTTGTAACAACTGTGGTAGGGCAAGATGCAGTGACACTGAAAATCTGCCAGTCTTGAACAGAAAGCTACAACATACACTGTAGGTATAATTTACTATCACCAATCCAAGTAGGTATAATTTACTATCACCCATCCAATGAAACGCGAACACTTTATTTCAATAACACAGACTTGCAAAGTATGAGGGGTCCTGATTCCGCACATGGCCTGCACCAACGCGCGCTTTGCAGAAAGCTCTTATCAAAATTCTGAAAAGTGCTTCCAAGTTTTTGTCCTCTGGTGTTGCCTTAAACCCCGGATAGTATCTTAAACCCAAAAAAAAATCAATAATCTCCTCCCCTATTCCGTAGTCCTATACTTCGCAAGGCCGTTACTCCCACAAAGACGGTCTTTGCTCACACGATGCCGCATTTATTTGTGATGCGATTGCGCACAGGTTCAGTGACCAGTCACGATGGTGAGCCAGACAATCTAAAAATCGGACGACGCTTGTATTTTCTTTTCTGCTTTTTTCTCCTATAAAGTGACAGCACAGCGACGAGTCAGAGTATTTATTACATTTTATTTGAACGACGACATTGCGTTTATACTGTGCAACCTGCTTGCCACAAATGTTGCGTCATCAGACAACTGCTGGCAAACTTCTCGGTGGTGACGAAAGCGAAAGTAGATCTTGATTTTACCGATCGAGCCTCGGTGTCACATACGCTTCCGCCTGCCGCCATAGCTGCCTTTTCGCGTGAAAGTGAAACGGACTCTCCAGACGGGGAAAAGATGAACGAATATAATATCACCATCGCGACCGGCAATACTGACCACATCGGACTTGGTTTTCAAATATTCCAGTTCTGCGATACTGATACTATTTAGACAAAAGATGGGACCTGAGATAATTAAGTTTACTCGCCCAAGCTGAATCTCGTAGTTTTCGCATTCCAGGATGCGTATTTTTTCATGAAAAGTCGTATTCGCATATTTTCGGCCAAAAATCGTACTAAAATACGTAAAATCGTACTGGTTGGCATCTCTGCATTTTCCTTAGGCATCAGCGAGTCCATGAAGAGCAATACTAGAAAACAAAGAATACATATTTCTGATACGAAAAAGCACTTTTGTACCTAGACCCTCAAAAAAGTATTTAAATTCACACTTTTTTTTTTTAACATGAAGCTATACCACCCTCCAGTCGACACAAGAACTGACATTGTACAAAGAGATCGCAAACATTTTTTCCACAAATCTTTTTTTATTGTCATCAATTCCATCCCGTGCTTTCAGTCAGCACTTCACAGTTTGCGCCAACTACTGTACAAGACAACAGCACCAACGGCGAGCCCAGAGCAACAAGGTCCTGTCTCAGTTACACTCACTTTTCACACATCTCAGTTCCAAGTTTTCTTGCATTATTTATCCTTCGAATGAAGGACAAAATTAATGTGGTTTGACCTTAGAAAATAAAGGAATGTTTTTAGTTTAGTCTTATTAAGCACTTTACGGCACTTGAGACACAAATGGGTCAAAGATTAGGTGTCACTGGAGAGTAACAAAAAAAATAATTTTAAAAAAAGAAAAAAAAAGAAAAAAGAAAGGAGGACAAGAAAGGATGACAGGTGTTTGATACGAAAAAAGGGTAAAACCACACAATAGCAACCCCCCCCAACCACCCATTAAAAAGGAATGGGAGTTCCAACTTTGACATATGACATTTATATATAATAGAGTACCGAAGGAGGCTTCAGACACTAAACCTTGTTGTTCTGGGCTCGTGCAATGTGGACAACACACACACACACACCAAGGTACAATCTGTGGACAACACAGAGCATGGCAGGGTCCACGAGAGCAAGCAGCAGGACAGGAGATGAGCAGTCAATGAGAGAGTGATCCCACGAGGCAAATACAGTCAAACCAAACCCATCGCAAATATCAAGACATTCACTCACATAAACGCGGAATACGCATACTCAACTGTATACCATATCAAAAAGTACCATACCAAAACGATTTTCTGATAAATAACTGCAAGACTACTCATATAGGTGTAACTCTATAGCACATGAATATTTCCCCAAGAAACAGGGAATGTCAACAGAACAGAACATAGTCAATATCCTCACACTTCCTCTTCTCCTTCAGCTTGTGCAGGCATCAGCAGCAAAATCTCGCACCTCACACTTGTCCACCAATTCTTACAGGACACACACACGCACAGCCACCCGACAGATGATTTTCATCCTTTTCATCTCCAAGGGTCAAACGAGTGCAAACAGAACATATAGCACTTGACCCGTTTCCTTTTACAAGCTACACAAGACTTTTCCCACACACTCTGTCTGGTCCAACAATGATTCCGTCCTTCTGCCACTCATTCATCCTTCCTTCATTTTACCATCAATTTCAAAATCTGAACTTTAAATAGCACAAGAGCAGTGTAAGAAAGCAGTTAAATTACAAGAATCCTCTTTGCATGGAATTTTGAACTCACAAACCTCTCCCTAGGGATGTAAATTGGATTGGCCCCACTCAAATCACCGACGGTGACACACACAAAGATTGGGTAACAACCCCTATCAGGACATAGTTAACATTAGCAACTAGACACTCCAGTCGAATATAAAAAAGTTGCTGAGATGTTTCCAGCCTATTTCTCGCTCCTCCTTTCCTAACTATGTGTGTAAATCACTTGCCTCACATTGACAATACCAATAAATTTCTGAGACGAAAGCCTTTATTCTTTATTCTTGTACGTTACAAAGACAGGAAGGTCACATGTTCATACTAGTCCGAATAATCAAATAGGTGTATCATTATTGAGTTCTTGAATGTCTTCCATGCCAAGGAACAAGTGTACAAAATCTTTGGCTGTACAGAGAATAAACAATTAAATCAGAATAAAAACAACATTTAAAAAAAAGAAAGGACAGCTGTGGGGGGGTGTCCTACTCGGCCGCAGGTACATCTTTCTCCTTCTTCTCTTCTGTCTTCTCCTCTGTGGCAGTGGCAGTGGCTGATGGTGGTGGTGGGGGTGCAGCTGCTGCTGCTGCTGCTGCTGCTGGCTCAGACTTCTTCGACGACCCTTCCTCCGCACCTACAAAAGGGACACGGCAACAAAACACAGATATGAAAACATTCGTCAATGTCTCTGACCTCACAACCTACACTTTTTTTTTGTCTCATGTTCACAGCCTACCCTTCGTTCTCACAGTCTCCCAAGAATACAAAGACATCCACAGGAATTTAAGGGTACGGGTGTTATGTGCTTACAGTCTCAAATGAAAATACAGGCAAACCAGCTCCAACAGCCACCTGTCCAAGTATATCACCTGAACAAACTACTCCCCCCTTTTCAGGACAAAGAACCTAGATCTAGCTCCAGTTCCGCACTCGTAAAGTCACCACATCAATCACTGACTCAGTCACAATGAAACACTTAAACAGATCTAGATCTAGTCTTGTTCTAATCAAAAAACTTTTCGTGGCAGAAACAAAAGTCAAACTATGAAACAGCACTAGATACAATGTATCTATACTCTAGCTTCTAATTTAAAAAAAACAAAAACACTTTTCCCGTCAGAAAGAAGAGCTCATCTTTGAAAGAGCACTCACAAGGATCGTAACCACACAAAACAGCACACCTGTGACATGATGATCGGCCTATGTGGTGGCGAAATTTACTATTTTAGCAATATAAGAACAAAAATGCGAACTAAGAAAAGGACGGCGCATTTCCGCGGTTCATTTGATGCATACACCTACGTTTTACAGCCTTCGGGAAATGCAAATGGCATCCAGAAATGCCTAGTCTTTTTCCTTGTTCGCATTGCCTGAAAATTTTTGCCCGCCGCGTTTGGTGGGAAACCGGTCAAGGCGGAAAAATGAGTGGGAGTCAAAATTGCCGGAATTCCAGCAATTGCCAGAACACTTACACGTCTGCATCAAACTTGCATCGATGGATGGCGCTAGAATAAACCTGAACACAAACAAACAAAATGGCAAGACGAGGAGGAGAAGGTGGTGGTCCTTACCTTGGTTAGCTGCAGGCTGAACTGGAGACTTGGACGTGTTTGCTGGAGAGCTGCGACCTCCACTGTTCTTGACAGCTGAAAGGAACAAACAAAGATAAGGATAATGCTCTTTGTATGACGCCAAAAAATGTGAGAGGCCATTGGGTTTTTTTTAACCTCTTAAAGGAACAAAGAGATCACAGTATGCTTTTGTGAGAAGTCAAGGAATGCAAGAGTCCAGCGTTGGTCATGTCACCAACTTCTCATGAAGTAATCATGCAGGACAACTACACACTCAAAGATTTCTTTTTCTTAGCAAGATAAAGTTAAACATTCATACTGTGACAGTTTCCACAGAACTGAGACAACTAGAACTGGGACCTACGTTACTGCTAACCGAGAGCACGGCAGAATGAAAGTAAAAACAAGTTCTCTTTGATACAACAAGCAGGACTACTTCAGCTTTTTTTTGTAATGAAAAGAGTAACAGTGACTAACAGTGTAACAGTGACTAACAAGGGCACCGGACAGCCGGGCCAAAGTACCCCACATTTCGGAGTCAGAAACAGATACCTGGGCCAGGTCCACTGCAAAGGCCAAGTACAGCACTAACTACCCACACAAAATACCCGACTCCTACTCGTAACAATATTTTGACAGCATAACATTTTTTACACTGCAACATCAATGAACGAGAGTAGATCATTCACACCTCTGAACTGAAAGCTGTTTGCCCAAATGGGTAAATATTTTTTTTTTAAAGCCTACCTTCACAAGAAAACCCCCAAAACTAAAAACTCAACCAAAAAATTATTTTTCTTAAAAACCTATCCAAACAAATAACCACTAAACAGCCTGAGTAATGCTCTACGTGACCAAAGTCGCAACAACTGTATGTGAGAGGCCTACCTGCCACAGCGGGGTTCACCATGGCTGGACTGCTGGTCCTGGAGGTGCCCGCTGAGCCCGTTCCCGGTTGCTGCTGCTGCTGCTGCTGCTGCTGTGACTGGAACTGTTGGAACTGCTGCTGTCCTCCCGCCCCGCCGCTGGTGCTGGGCATTACAGTGGGGTTGACAAGACGGTTGAGGATGTTCCTCTCAGACATCTGCAGCCTCTGGGTGACCGGAGGGACACGGGCCAGCGTAGCCGGCAGGCGAGACACGTCCTGCTTCATGTCACTGAGAAGTTCTTCCAGCTGGTTCAACACTGAGGACAGGGATCGTAAATGCTTGTAAGTGTTTCACACCCTTATTAACACAATTTGGATCACATACTGATGAAGTAAGTAAACAAAAGCAAGACCCTTCTATGCTTCTCACACAGCAAGTTTTCTCCTGAACACTTTAGCAATACAATTGCTACGACAAGACCAAACTGGTGTGCAATGGGTCAGAATCAATGCTAAACACTGACATCTATCATTGATAAACAAAATGAAACAAAGCGGCAGAAAAAGACTAGCAAATGCTGTTCAAACATGAGTAAACTAGAGCAGTAAAAGCATACTTGTTCCTTTAACCCAGGCAGTATTATTTTCTAATCCACCTCCAAGATAACCACAAACAAGAAAACCATGTGCACACCTTTTGTCAAAAACGTATGTATCTGAACGAAAAAGGTCTATGCCTTTCTGTTTTTCTTTTGGTCCAATACAGAAAGTAACAACACTCCCTCCCCCCCCCCTCCTCCCACTAAAATAAACAAGCACCCCTTCCTCCCACTAAAAAAGCAGCAAACGATCTCCCGAAGAGTCCAGATGTGAAGAGCAGAACAGTGGCCCTTACCTTTGTGCAGGACAGCGTTGGCTGGCTTGTTGCCTCCCAGAGACTCCTTGCTCAGGTGCTGATGGCTCTCTGCCAGGCACTCCAGCTCAGCAAACCTAGAGGTGAGTACACAATGAGTTTTATAAGCAAAGAGAAAAACATTGATACAATAACGGTCATTTAGTGGAGGGGACTCCCGCATACACAAGGTAACATGATAAAACATTAACAACACGTCAGTACAAATGTTAAAGCTTAGTTCTTGTCGGTAGTTTAACAGCACTTGCAATACATGGGTATTATAAGTGCAGAAGAATAGGTGTTACTAGAGAGTAACATCCAAAGTAAAGGAGGAAAGGTAAGGACGATAGGAAAGAGGGAGCCAACCACATCAGATCACCTTCCAACTACTCACCTGTTCATTTGGTGAAAGAGATAAAATAAGTGAGACAGGAACAACAGATGGAAATAAAGGAAGCCCTACCAGCAGCACCTTCCAACACTATATATATACACAGTGTCGCATTATAAAATATACACAACATGTTTGTACAAAAGAACACATGACAAATCACACACAAACACTTCCGTAAACAATGACACAATAAAAAAATTAACAAAACTTCAACAGAGCACAACTTTACTATGTACAACTTGACTTTGACCCCCCAACTCTCCAGTACTTGCTCAGACCAAGTACAGTAACGAGGGTGTCAAGAACAGGGAGTGTCACGTGTCATTGTGTCTCACTCACCGAGCATTGAGAGCCATGGCCGGGTGGGCGTGGTCCTGGGTCAGGTTCAGGTAGGCTGCCCGTCTCAGCTGCTCCTCAATGACCAAAGCTTGCTCAAGCAGCTGGGGACACAAGCACAAACACATGAAGGCTCGCACAGACATACCAAACTTTTTTGTTTTCATTTAGCTTTAGAAAGAGTTTTTACATACAGCACTAACAGGAAAAATAGTCATACACGTGTGCCAAAGAGCAAAGGTGATACTACCATTCAAATAAAAGGAGGAGACATTTGGAAGTGGATCTTTAATAGAAAAGAGGGAACGTTTTAGTTTTAGATTTAGTAAGTGTTTTACGGCACTTGCAATACAATAAGGTCATATAAGCGGAGAAGATTAGAGGTGTTACAAGGGAGTAACAAACACAAAATAGAAGGAGGGGAGATAAGGACGATAGATGTTCGATAGGAAAGAAGGAGCAAACCACACCACAGCAACCGCCAACCACCGCAAAGAGGGAACAAACACACCAGAGCATCCATCAACCACTCACACATACAATGTGGGTGGTTTATTTGTTCATTTGAGTAATTTATAGGAGAGTCATAGACTCAATAGTGGTTATTTAGTCCAGGGAAAGAATAAGACAAACAAACAGCACAAAAAGATAAAAAGTAGGACATACCAGCGGGGCCCTCCAACTATCACAAAGAGGATTCCGGAGGGAGAGAGAGAAAGAGAGAGAGAGAGAGAGAGAGAGAGAGAGAGAGAGAGAGAGAGAGAGAGAGAGAGAGAGAGAGAGAGAGAGAGAGAGAGAGAGAGAGAGAGAGAGAGAGAGAGAGAGAGAGAGACAAAGAGAGTGACAGAGGGAGAATCTGGAAGAGGGTGTACTCACTCTAAAAACATGAGTACCTGCCAAGACAAGAAAAAAAAAAAGTCGGAAAGCCACAAAAAAAGATTTTTCACCTTGAACCTCCTGGCCAGGAATTTGTTCTTGATCTCCAGAAAGTTGCCCTTGCCCTGCTCCGAGATGAAGGGTTCGTTGATGATCTGGAAGCGGATGTCGTTCTGAATGTCCTGCCAGCGGCCGTAACCGTGCGTGATGATGCCGGCCAGCAGCCAGTAGTCGTGGCGACGGTGCCAGACCTCGTGCTCCCGGCCCTTCTGCAGCGCCCTCTGCTCGTTGGACCAGAGTGTGTGTAGCTCGGTGAAGCCACCGTCCGCAATGTTGAACATAAACTTCTGGAACAGCTCGTCCTGTTTCTTGGACTCCTCGCTGTTCTCCTTCTCTTCTTTCTTCTCCTCCTCCTTCGCTGGTTCCCCGCTGCCACCAGAGGCGGAATCCTTGTCCTCTTTCTTTTCTTCTTCTTTCTTCTCACCGTCCTTTTTCTCCCCTTCATCCTTCTTTTCCCCAGCCTTTCCGTCTTCCTCTTTTTTGTCTTTCTCAGCTTCCTCTTTAGTCGCAGATTCTGAAAAGACAATGAAGAGCTCTTGAGTCACATGGCATGAAAATCACTACCATACATTAAATACACAATAATGTCCATAGTAATTATAGAAAAGAAGTTTATACCGATCAGTTTCCCTAAAGGTGCACATTTTCAAGATTTCAAATTTTCATTGATTTTAAAGGCCTTTGGCCCATACATCTGCACAAGGCCTTCAAAATAAATAAAATCATATTCTTATCTACTCTTGCCTTTTTAAAATGTTTTACTCTAGAAGATACTGTACACTTCTTACATTGGAGTATCAAGTGTATCTCATTTTGCGCTACCCCCCCCCCTCTCACTTCAGGAAACAACTGTCAGTTCCAGTAGAGTATCAATAAAATACAGAAGAAATTGTCCAAAACAGCCACCCATTGATGAGGATAAAAGTGGTTGTCTTTAACAGCATCATTATTATATAAGAAATAAACACGGGGGTGGGAGTGGGGAGAGGATGAGAGGGAAGGAAGTTGTAAGTGTTTGTGTAAGTGATTGTTTTGGGAGGTGGCTGTTAGAGTAGATTCGACCGCATGTCTTATGTGTGCATCATTACCTTCTTTACTGTCTTTGTTCTCTTCTGTTTTTGTCTCCTCTTTCCCATCAGCAGCTTTCTCCTTGGCCTCATCTGAAAAAAGAGCAGTAGGTTAGTAACAAAGCAACATGACAAGGGCACATCAAAACAAGACACACATACCATCATTACAGCAGAAATACCAAGACATGAGTACAAATGTGAAGCATGCTGACAAAATGAGTTATTTTCTCGGATTCAAGCCTTATGGAAATAGATACATCACACGTATAGGTGAAGTTTTTACTAGTATGAAATAATAATGTTACAGTTAAAGAATATGACATCAATAGAAATTCTATAAATTTGACCGTAGTCGAATTTTGGCCAATATCTCCATTCGTGGACTTCGAGAATAACTCATTTTGTCAGCGAACCTCACAAATGCTTTTAATGTAATAAACCTAGGATACATCAACCCCCCCTTCACACGTGCTTAGTATGAACTGCTGGCCGTGTGACTGCAAAGTGTTAATCGACATGTTCAGACTTTTAGTCAGAACACAATGAACAGTTAATGTGCAGCTATTGTATTTGTAAAACACTCAGAGCCCGTATTCTTTAAGGTTGACTGCTATATAAGAGGGGAAAGACTGTTTCATTATTTTAGCAATTTTATCTAAATAATGAATCTTTTCTTGCCCGTGAATTTCGACAAAATATTTCTCAAGTAGGGCCTACATGCAACCTTTACAACAGATTAATAAACTGGACAAAAAGATATTTTAAAATCCAAAAATTTCGGGCATAGTACATTCGGATGGCTGACCAAAGATATGGGAACTGACCTTTCTCAGTTTCAGCTTCATCTGTCTCCATCTTTTCCTCTTTCTTGTCCTCTTTCTTGTCCTCGTCCTCTGCCTTTGGCTTCACCTCAGCCTCTTTCGCTTCCTCACCAGTCTTCTCTTTCTCTTCTTCACCCTTCTTCTCATCCACCTCCATCGCTTCCTCCTTCTGTTCTGCCACTTCACCATCTGCCTTTTTCTCCTCTGAACCTTCTGCGGTTTTCTCCTCAGTCTGTGTAATAGCAGAAAACAAAAATGTATTCAACTATACTATAATCATAATAATGTTTATCATGAAATCAAAAGTCATTCTAAATTTCAGCACTATCACCACCATCAGGCATGCAACTGGGTTTTTTGGGGGTAAAAATAACCGAATAAAACAAATGCTGAGAATATCAACTATTCTTATGACATTGGAAACTATTTCAGAGGCAATAACAGAAAAAACGGACCCCCCCCCCCTAGTAAACAGCATACCTGGAAAAAAACAACCCTTTTATAACAATATTTGCTTTTGATAACCAAGACAGTAAGCCAAATGCCACAAGCAAAATCTGAAGGTCAAACAAACTATGTTACAAAATAACAACCAGAAGTGACATGATGAATTTGAATTTTTCTATATGTATACAATCAAGCACACAAGAGTGAGAAGGAAAAAATCTAATAGTTTCTAAATGCAACAAAGCCACAGCACACAGATTATCTATATCTGCTGACAGACAGGCTGTAAATTAGCATTTTCATGTCTATCCCATTAAAAATAGAAGCGTAAAGAAAAAGAGAAAAGACACACCTTCACATTTTCTGTCTTGCTCTTTTCTTCCTCTTTGACTGCTGGTTCCTCCGTTTTGCCTTTGCTGTCCTCTGCCTTCTCCTCCTTCTTGCTCTCCTTCTCCTTTTCCTTCTCTTTCTCCTTCTCGGCTTTCTCCAGTTTCTTGGCAGCTTTGGCTTCCTTTGCCTCCTTCTCTGCCTCAGCCTCAGTCTTCAGCTTCTCGATGGCGTCGCCAGCCTTCACATAGGGCATGCTGTGAGTGCCATTGATCAGCTCGAACTCTTGCACCTGAGCGACCAAGGATGGATGTTTACTTTCAGTAAGTTCTGCGGTACTTGCAACAAAATAGGTCTTATAAGTGCCAAAGAGTAGAGATGTTACTAAAAAGTAGCAAACAGAGACAAAAAAAAAGAAAGAGATAAGGACGATAGATGTTTGATACAAAAGAAGGGGCAAACCACACCAAAAAAACACGCAACCCACCAACAAGGATGGATGAGATGGAGAAATTCAAAAACTAACATACGACTGTGGTGAAACCTGCATTGTTTTAACCCCCTTCATTGTTTTTACTCATTTTGACCAGAGTCGATCCCAAGCTATTTCACCACAAAGGCAATGAGTTTGTTGCAGAATTGTTTTTTTTAAACTGAGAAAGAGAGAAGATTAAACAAAGAAGATGAAATGGGGAGGGAAGAGGGGAAAAAGCAGTAGAAGACGTGAAAATTGGACATGCCAGCACGGGCCGGGTTCGAAACCAGTACCTTTGGCATGAGAGGCGAGCACCGCACCTCTAGGTCATATTGCCCAGTGTTAGACTGTACTTTAAAAACATAATTGCTATACCTTTTTAGAAAACCTTATGTTCAACAAACCTAATAATTGCCGCCCTACCGTCTAGAAAACCCTCATAATAGCTGCTGTACCTTCTTTGAAAACCTGATAGCTTGCGCTGCACCTTCTTAGAAAACCTGAATTAGCACTACATCTTCTCAGAAGACCTGATAGACCCTGCTGTACCTTCTTGCAAAACCTGAAAATTGCTGTAGCACCTTCTTACACACCCATCATAATTGCCACTGTTTCATTTTTTAAAAACCTCATGTTGTACCTTCTTCCTGACTAGGGACATGATGCCGATCCTGGTGAGGACATGCTGTCGAGACAAGCCCTCCCTGGGCACACCATCAGCGAAGGACTCCGCGTTGTCAGCCCCCGGCTCACACAAGTGTCTCATAAACAAAGACACGTAAGCTCGGAACACTTTCTCAGTCTTGCCCCTCAAGTCTCGCACCAACCTGACAAAGAAAGGGCTGCAGTTTTACACACGTTTTAACTTCTGCACTGGAAACTGGGATACAACAGTCAATATGATCATTTGGGAAATAAAAGCATGCCTTCTAATGACTTCTCCCCTGCCCACAATCACATAAACGAATAAAGGTAAAGCCCCCCCCCCCCCAATTTATTTAATTTTATTTTGAGAACACAATTATAAAGAATCAGGTTCATCCAAACCAGTGTTTGTTGATCTAGGTGATATTGCCTACTGGCGGGTGATTTGGTAATATTAGTGGGCAGCGGAGATCACCCGAGTAGTGACAAGTATACTTAATGGCCGACTTGGAAAAACATATAGGAGGGTACGAAAATATTAGCTTCTAATAGGTGGCAAAATTTACAGCAGGCTATATTATGGACTGATCTAACCGTGCACCAATACATTAAATTTGTCCATGCAAGTAAGCTGTTTTCATGCACTTAATGATATGTCCTGAGTACAGAATTAGAAAATACAAGCCCAAAGTGAAAAACCATGGCCACAATGTTGTTTCACTTAGAATGCCTTGGCACACACAGCACACACGTTGCCTTTGCCGTCCTGTAATCAGACCAAGCATTGAGTGCAAGATGAACCTGCCCTTTAGCCATTTTAATGGAAAGAGTGTAGGTCTTTCTAGATGATTAATGTATAAAAATACCTATTACAACAATAATACCCTTTTCCTACTCAGCAACATATGGTACTAGAAGAAAACTAAGGGGGTGTGGAATCTGTAAAATTCTCTGATCAACAAAACACAGTGGAGGATTTTCCCCGACCCACTGCACATCAAATACAAGTCTACACTCAAATCAGCGGCCAAAACAATGCTCACTTCAGTTTTGTCAAACATCAACCTACAGTTGAACCTGCTCTATTGGTTACTAGTTCGAGACAACCACCTGTCCAAACTCCACCTCCACCTTGCACTTTCTCGACATTATAATGACACTGTTCAAGACGCCCATCTCTCTCTAAGACAACCACATTTTTCCTTTACAACAGGTTGCGGTCTTGAACAATTTTAACTGTATTTGAATAACCATTTACAAAGTCCCAGTGAGAAGTGTTCTCACACCAAGAAGGACCAAGACATACCACTGAGAGTTGAAGGCATCTTGTGGGGGCATGCCCCATCTCATGACAGCATTCAGGAAGGCTTTCCGCTGCCGAGCATTGAACCCCAGTACCTGCGGACGTGAAAGAGGCATATATATGATAAACAGACTACTGACTTATTTTTCATTTTAATTTACGGCACATGCAACACAAGTGCTGAAGATTAGAGGCATTAATACACAGTAAATTACATGGAAAAAAAGGAGAGCTAAAGACAAATCTACTGCTCGGTGTAAGACTCCATCATATGTCACTTTTACAAATGATATATGGAGGTGTCTTACACTTAGCAGTTGAAATGTAGCAAAATGCATTCATAATTATGTTAAGTAAATCATTTAGTGCATGCATAGAGCCTACTTTGGAGTCAGGCAATGCACAATATAAACACAACAAATACAATCACTTTTACGAAGATAAGAATGATTAGTATTAAGTCTACTGACAATTTTGTTATTGCTAAAATTACTATTATTTTTACCATCCTCATTATAATTCTGAATCTGGGACATCAGTGCTGTCCTTACTTGCATATAATTAATAAATCGTTGTGAAAGTTTTTTATGTGGTCGAACTGGTTTTTCTTGTTACTGTGAATTGTTCAGTGGTCGTGTGCTTGATGTAAAGTGCTCAGAGCTTATGCTCATAAAGGATAGAGCACTACATAAATGCAATCTATTATTATTATTAGGAATCTACATATGTGCTGCTCAGCCTTTAAACATTCCAAAATGACTTGTTGCAATGTTTCTATTTCTAAGCAGCTATGTTCAATGTCCTTCTGTACTGTACAGCTTTGCTCCAATGCTCTTGACAAGAGAAAGCCAATTGTGACAGAAGATTCTTAAGAGGAGAAAGTGAGGGGATCAAACAACTCACCCCATAAAAGCTGACCAATAAATAAAGCCTTTCTACAAGGGCTTACCTCAATCTGCCCATTGACTCTAGCCAGGAGTGGAGGCAGAGGGCGGTCTTTCTCATTCCTTCTGCGGCTTCGGGCTAGAAAAGAAATGAAACGAAAAAGCAACTTTTACTACATATGTAATAAACATGATAGACAGGCGCTGCCCTCAAATGCTCAGCCCCAACTCACTCACAAACAAATGATTTTGGATTAATATAATTCTTAACTTGAATATGATTTCTCTAAAATTGAACATGAATTGCTACAAGTCCAAGGTGATCAATCAATAAACTGCTCCTCAAGACTCTACACTACACAGGTAGCTTTACTGGTCAGTGGACTAGGCTATACCTTTCCACACCCATAGCTGCAAACTTTTCAAATAATAAAAAAATTGGGATTCTACCAACATGGCCAGCCAAAATGGTGGGCATTGGCTCAGTAAACCCCTTCTAAACCCTTCACACAAACTTTTGTGCATGCAATAAATTCAAGCTATTCAAAGCAGACCTGCAACAACAGTATAAAAAAGGGTAACACGACTCCCATGGACTCGTAGGCTTCATTCTCAATATTGTCCACAAATCCGGTCTTGAAAGTCTGTTACTTTTCTTCGGCATTTGCAATTTCACAAAGGGCAAGGCAGAAAACGGAAAAACATTTTTCAACACAAAAAGGGACATATGTACCCAGACCCTCAAAACCATAATAAATATTCCATATACAGTCAAACCTGTGTAAAACAGCCACCAAGGGCAAGGACAAAAGTGTCTGCATAACAGGTGGCCGTCTTAGGCAGGCCTGATCAAGATCAAGAAAGCAAACCATTCTCTTCCGAGGTCCAAACTCGGGCTGAACTCAGGCTTTAGAGTGCAGTAAGGCAAATTAAAAAAGGTTTTTGTTTCAATAAAAAAAGGGGGGTGGGTGGTGTAAAGAAGGCTTTTTTGTTGCTGTTTTGTTTGTTTTTTTGGTTAACCATCTTTTGGGTGTTGATTTTGTGCAAGGGTAAAATAAACAAAATATTAAGTACGTAATTCGATGAAGACTGACTGCCATGTTAAAACAAACACACAGGTCGCCACACTCGGAGAACAAGCGACACTTTTGTCACAAGTTTATGTCAACGTCCATTGTTACGCGATTTGTGCATGAGTTGTAGGTGGGGCTTATAGGTTATGAAGGATCACGCTTGAAAATGTATTGTTAGGCCTACCCATTGGTCACTTTGGGTAAACTTTCATTGGAGGGACTAACAATCACGACAGGTGAATGGATTATGACCCCACGTCCACAGCGTGTGAGGCTGATTCAAAATTTATGACAAAGCGTCGGGCAATGAGTGACAATGCCTGGTCGCCTGAGGCAGGAAAATTTGGCTGCAACTTGATAAAATAAGGTGGCCGCGGTCACATTGAACAGGTGACCATTTTACAGTTAAATTATATAGAAAAAATGCAAGGCGGGAAACGGAAAATGGTCGTTCGTACAGGTGGTCGTTATGGCAGGTTCGACAGTACATACTGGTTGGCACCTATGCTTATCAAACACTTCAGAGTTATGAAACAAGAGCAAAACTCATTGAGTCAGTCACAGCAGCAGTCCTCTACTAGTTTATGCAGGCAAGATTCATTCTTCACATTCAACCCAGTATAAACAACCCACAACCCAAACTCACTGGACGCTGTCTGGCCATCTTGTTTGTCATCAAAGTCATCATCGTCCTCTTCGTTGACTGGAGAGATGAGACAAATCAAAAGTTGTCATGTTGATGAGTTGTACTAAATGTCCTACGATATTGAGTTCAATTATATTCGTAATAACATTTAACTCACTGTCCAACATAAGTCTAGGAACTCTACTGACTTAATGAAGGGATATTTACTGACCATCTTTGACAGTGACAACATTACCTTTTATTCAAAAGTAAAGCAAACATGAGATTATGGCTGTGGTATGAATACTATTTTTTTAAAACAAAGAATAAAATAACTTTAAAAACCACCTCACAATATCATACTGACAAAGATTTTTTTTAAATAAGTGGAAAATGTGACTAAAATTCTATACTTCAGTCAAAATCATCATGATCAACTATAAAGAAAAAGAAAAGATGACACACACCCCTCCCACCTTGGCTGAAATCTGAATCATAATCGGAAAGATTTTCTTTCCACGCCTCTTCATCATGTCCATTCATGGCATCGTTGTAGTTCACCTGGGAATACAATAGAAAAAATATTTTTAAAACCAACCAAATCAGTTTGGAAATTTTTTCTTCCAACACAGAAAATCTCAGAGACCTCTTAATAGCTGTAGTTCACCTGGAGAGATAAATCACAATTCAGAAATTCTTGTCTCTCAAAAGAAAACATCCCTGAGAACTGTAAGTAGTTGTAAGTACATAGACAATTATTATTATCTAAAATGCATCACAGGCAACAAATACCAATAAAAATCAGTAACATCACTGTCAAAACTCAACAAACATGGCGCAAAAAATTTCGTTCTCAGTGTCAAAAGGTAAGTGGCCACCATAAAAATTAACTGAACTGGAATTCTTGCAGTTCCTTCACAACAACTACAGCCACAAGATCTTAAAACTTAATAATAAATAATATTAACAACTGCATTTATACAGCTCAACAGCATGCTCTATGCACTTTTCAACTATTACAAACTATTACGACATATAAACAAGTAACATCACTCAGAATATTAAAATTCATCAGACGAAAAATCAACTAAACAGATGAAACAAAAAAACAAAAAAACAAAAAAAAGAGGCTTCGAAAATTTTTTTAAAAAGACGTTTCACACAAAAAGTAACAAACAAAAGCCACGGGACCCTTCTCCTCATTTCAATCTTAATTTGCTCTGGCAAAAATGCTACCCTATGACCTGCTTGAGTGAGTGCTCTGACCTGTTTGCGGATTCTCTTGCCCTTGCCAAGAGTTCGAGCGAGGTCTTCCTGCTGCTGCTCGTAGTGGTGTCTCAACAGCTTCTCCCAGTACGCCGGGTCCGCGTGCTCTGCCTCCTGTTTCAACACCTCCGTCTCTGGCTCATCCTGGGGGACACACACATAACATGACAAGATCAAACACAAGAACAGATATGTTACATTAGTAAGTACATACAGATATGCTACAACATTAATAAGTACATAAAGTGAGAGAAGAGGTTCAGCCTAACTCTGAGTCTCTTCAGAGGAAAATAGTATGGGCCAGTGGACACATTGCAGAAGACGTGACAAATTTGTAACTGAAGTTGGCCATCAAGTATGTAGACAAACGAAAAGAAGTACAGATAAAATAGTCTGATCAAACATCTATCTTTATTGTCTGCCTATCCTTTTCTTTGTGCGTTACAAGTGCCAACAAAACTGTAACACCAAAAAAAAAAATTTAAAAATCCCAATGCTCACCTCTTCCTCTCCCTCCTTGATGGTGTAGTTGGCCACCTTGAAGGAGCTGAGGTACTCGTTCATCGCCATCTCCTTCTCCTCCTGGCCCGCCTGGGTCCTGTCCAGCAGCTTCTTCACAGACTCTTCGTCATACACAATGCGATCCTCAGCACCTGTCAGCAGTCATCAAATATGAATCTTCAGGAGGCAAATTTATGGTGTACGAAATGTACAGAAAGCAATGGGGTTCAAACAAAATTGCTAGCCATGAAATGAGTGATATGGTGCGGTGCAAAGACAGAGCGACGTATCTGCACTTTTTGTGATTTTGAGTTACGTCGTGCTGCCATTGGAAATATGGGCATGGCCCTTCAGTTACGTCTGTTTGCGACAGTGAAATGTAGTGCAGATACATTTTCCTGCCTTTGACACAAGATGCAGAATGGGAATAGGCATCCATTTTTTAAAACGAAGATACAAAAATTAATTTTTTTCTACCTTGGCACAGCAGTATTAGGTGAGTCACAAGTTGAAAGGGATGCAAGACAAAAAACTAAATTTTCAGCAATAACATTTTTTTCCAATTCTTAATTAATTTTAACAATTCTAGGCTAAAGCAGGACAGAAACCAAAGTCAAACAGAAAGAAAAGTCTAGAAGGTCAGAATTACATATTACTATCAAGCTATATCTGAGTTTGTGTGTATTGTACATCTTGGGTACACTTTCAGTTTAGAAGGATATCATGCTGGGCTATGGAACTGATAGCTCTGGTTCAAATCACACATGGGGCATCCTTGAACTTGGGTTATGTGGGCGAGTTTTCAAAGCACCCCCCACCCATTTTGCTTGGTCTTATCAGTGACAGACGGTTCTGGCCTCGTCTCTTAAACAAACTTACAGTACTCAACAGGTTTTAAACCCCTATCAAGGGGAGGTCAAAGAGCACCATTGGTAGGTCCTACTTCTTTACTTCTCCCCTGTTGCGTCTGTTTATCGGTCTTCCTTTTTACAAACAGTAAATGATGGTTACTGTGTTGACATTTTTCTCTGTTCTCAAGCAAACAAATAAATAAACCCATAGTCACAATTCCCAATAATTACGTACCATCCTTGGCCTCGTCATCCTTAAAGAGCTCTTCGGTACCAAACTTGAGAATGTCGTCCAGTTCCTTCTTGCTCATGGCTCCGCCCTTGTTCCCCAGGCCGGGCCGCACCACCAGGTGGGTCAGCATCATCTTCCTCTTGGCCACCTGCGTGATGCGCTCCTCCACAGAGTTACGGGTCACAAACCGGTAGATCATCACCTTGTTGGCTTGACCGATTCGGTGGGCACGGCTAAACGCCTGAAAAAAGAAGAGGCAGACATAAAGGTGGGGGGTGAAAAAATGCAACAAATTTATCTACAACTGCAACAGATTTGAAAATAAAACCCAAAATATTTGAGATTAACTGTATAATAGTACAGTAGTCTGGCATCATCCAATAACAAATCATTAATATTGTACTGATCTACTGTAGTCTATGACAAAACTAAAACTGACAAACCATCTAAAAAGAGACATAATATTACTTTTTGATGGTTTGTCTGATGAAACTGTCCCATATGAAAAGAAATGATCAGTCACAAGTTGTCTATTGAGTATTCTTAACAGCACTAGTGTACCCTTAAAACATTTGGCGACACGAGACAAAACCATTCACACTATGGGGAACATACATTTAAAGGATGTATCACATGAAATACTTATATACAGCGCACATCAAAGTAACTCGGATCATAACTAAACTGAACAGCCTTTCACAGATGGAATTACAGAACTGGTAATGTATAACATATAATGTGTCCAACATGTCTTACAGACTAAAACCCATTCAAATTTTATACCAACAAGTGGAAAGACCATTAGCCATCTGAAACTTGGGTGCTGCAAGCAAGCAGAAGGTAAGACTGGATGATGCGATCACACTGTACACCCACCTGAATGTCATTATGCGGGTTCCAGTCAGAGTCATAGATGACAACCGTGTCTGCTGTGGCCAGGTTGATGCCAAGACCACCTGCTCTGGTAGACAGCAGGAAGCAGAACGCTGGCGCTTCTTTTGCTGGAGAATAAAAAAGGGCAAAACTTAACACCGTTTTCAAACAACGGAAGTACATTTGCTACAGTATAACACTGCTACCAATATCTATCGCTTCACTGATATGAGAATCTTGATCATTTCAGGAGCTGCTTCAAACTAAAGTACAAAGTGTTTATATCATTATTTGCAAATCAAGAATGCAGAATATAACATGAAAAGACAACATGTGGCAAACAGACGATGCACAGAGCTAGTCAAGTCTTAAAAATCCCCTCAGTTGGAAGCAATGTACATTCTGAGCCAAGTGTGAACCAGCACCACAAACCATTTTCCATTATAGCACAACATAATTTCTCTGACTTATTGTGATATTAAGAAAAGAGACTACAAAATTTGCTGCCATTAGCTACTAGACAGCTAGGGAGTTAAGACAAAAGCAGGTCCCAAACTCACAGTTGAACCTGTCGATAGCGTCCTGTCTCTGTATGCCAGTGACGCCACCATCTATCCTCTCATAGCGGTAGTTCTCTGCCTCCAGGAAATCTTCCAGCAAGTCAAGCATCTTTGTCATCTACAGAGACAAGGTTAAAAAGGGATAAACTTCCTGAACATCTGACTCCTTTTTCTCATAGTATTCTTTCAAGTCAAGGCAGACACGTGTCTGAAAAAGTATGAATATGTGAAAAGCTTTTTTTAAAAGAAAAGAAAAGACACATACACTTCTGTTCACTCTTCCCTTTTTAAAAAATCTACAACCATAAGTATCCTTGAGCTTTGTTGCCCGACAATAAAATAAACTATAATAAACAATTATGAAAATGCCTAAAGCTACTGTGCAAAACCAATCCAATGTGCTCATAGTTAAACACAATTAATTAATACGAAAACAACAAAAATGGAAACCTCAAGCCCTGTAGTTTACCTGTGAGAAGATGAGCACCCTGTGTCCTGTACTATGGAGCTCCTTCAACATCTTAGACAACAGCTCAAGCTTGCCACAGGCTTTGATCAGCGCCGAACCCTCAAACGCGTTATTATGTGTGCGCGGGGCTTCCTGAATATCAAACACACAGACCAATTTACTTCACATAGTCAGTACCAGGCACATAAGCATCAGCATTAAGGAAGATATCATGCCAAGTTTAACCTTATTGATGTGTTCACTTTCATGACGAAATCACCAAATAATCTCAAAACAATTCAGTCACTGATACAAGGGTTATCTTTGATGTTTCAATATGTTTTTTGGCACACAACTGGTTCAATCTAATAATCGTAAACCTGTTCTTTTTTTAAGCTTTCAATCAACAAACACAACTAGTTTTCATGTTAAATCTTTTTGCATTTTAGCAAGACAACACCAAACATTAGTGGCCTTAACGTTAAGTTTTTGTGAGCCATAGCTTAAAAACAACAAACACTTAAAATCTCAATTTGTGGCCCACAAAACGGGAGTTCAAAATAACCAAACCTCTGAAAAACACACACCATTTCATAGCATAAACTACCTTTTTCAAAAGATGTAATTTTTATATTTCTGTCCTGTGGTGGTAACCCCCACTTCCCTGGCGATACATTTTATATCAACATTTCTTCGTACCTGTGCAGCAACAGGGAACAAATACGGGTGGTTGCAACACTTCTTCAGATCCATCATGATGTTGAGTAGAGAAGTCTGGTTGCTTCCGCCCTTCACATTCAGCGCCTCGTAGTTTCTTGCTAGAATATACTTGTAGTATTTCCTATAGAAAAAAGCCGGGGGGGTTAGCTCTCCTGCACACACTAGTCAAAAGAAACAGCAAGAATGAAGAGCCAGACTAATGCACTTTCCTTTCGCATAATACGCTTGAACAAAATGTTCATTTGAGTAAAAAGATGCACATTGATGTGATACGACCCATTCCGTGTACTTAAAAGCTAGAAAGACACACATATTGTAAGAGAATTGGGTGTCTATCTTTCATTAAACTAAACAACAACACCCCCCCTCCCCCAAAGCTGCATCCCATGAAGGAGGAACAGAGGTATGAGTTC